AGCATCCAGGAGAGCAGTGACACACACACACACATACACACACACACCACACCACACCACACACACACACAAAAGCCCTGAGCCCTGGGGGTGCTTGTCAGAGCCAACAGATACTTGAAGGAAGAGGCAACACTGTTCTGGGGCAAGGAGTCAAAGTGAGATTACTTCCCAGTAACAACTGTCTCCTGCAGGCTAGCCTCTTCCACCTCCTCCTTCCACCACCTCTGACACTTTTGGCTGCAGAAATAACATCATTTCTTGGCTGTGATGTCTAACATACCTGTCTTAAACTGCTTGGTTTGGGTTCCCATAGGGGAGAAAAAGTACCTGCATTCCACTGGTAGGTCTGGAGCAAAGTTTGCATGGGAAAAGAAAATTAAAGTGACCTGTGGATTGAGCCTCTAAACCTTTAACATACTGATGTTTTATGGCTTTAGCATCAAGTGTGTTGTTGATATCAATATACATTTAATTGAACTAGGAAAGTTTGTAAGTCTCCCATTTAGGGACTACTGCAATGTAGAGATGTTGTCTAAAAGAAGCAAAAGCCCAAGAGGAAAAAAAAAAAAAAAAAAAAAAAAACAGCTTTAGTTGAAAATTTGGTCACTCCTGTAGTATTCAGGCCATTTCCCATTATAACCAGCTATGTGGACTTTGCAGTCACCAAGGTGAAATAGCCTGAGTACTCCAAGAGTGACCCTTAAAAAGATGGGCACCTCAGGCCAGGTGCAGTGGCTCATGCCTGTAATCCCAGCACTTTGGGAGGCTGAGGCGAGTGGATCATGAGGTCAGGAGTTCAAGACCAGCCTGGTGAAGATGGTGAAACCCCATCTTTACTAAAAACTACAAAAAAATTAGCCAGGTGTGGTGGCAGACACCTGTAATCTCAGTTACTCAGGAGGCATTTAAGTCAGTCTCAACTCATTGGCCAGGGTGGTTATGAGTGATAGAATTGCTCTTATTCTTTGTGGGCCAAAGTGGAGTCAGTGCAATCACTAATACATCCCACCGTGATTGGATTAATATCTCTGACCGAGTACAAGTTCAGTACAGAAACTTGAGAATGCCACTTGGCTTTCTAAGGTAGATCCTAGTGGCTTATGATTGTTGATTTTTTTCCTGCCTGGTTGGATACAGACCCTTGGATATGGCTGAAGTCAATATTGATTGGTGTCATCCTGTTACATGAAGCTCTGTTGATAGTATCTTTAATTAAATGCTATAAAATAATTTGAATTGACTTGGTTCCAGTTTCTGTCAGTTTAATCAGAGTGACAGGTGGAGTGGCGTACTCATGGGAGAATTCATCATAAGCCGAGATGGTGTAGAATGAAAGATGCATATCATTGGGAGACAATTCTTCCTTGGTCTCTAGCATTTCTGGGATATTTTGCAAAGAGAGGTACTGACTATCTTTGTTCCAGACTATTTGTCCAGTAATGTTTTTATAGCAAACAACTTTAGAAGGTATCAGAGCAAAGGGCGCACATGCTCACTGCCCATTATTGAAGATTCCTAAGCTCAAAGTTCCTCTCCTTTAATGCATTCTATTGCATGTGCAGGTATCACCTGGCTCTCTTTTTGTCATCCTATGGGAACTGGGGCTCAGAACTGGCACAAATGCCGGTACTCCGGCTACTGCTATTGCTGTAAGTAAACTATCCTTTTTACAGGTAGTAACAAGCAGGCAACCTTGTTAGCTTGCAGGTAAGATAAAAATCTGACACCCTCCACAATTCTTGACAGCCTCACTCCTACCTCTGCCTGTCCCATATCTTGAAAGCTCCCTAACTTCTGTCACAGGAAGTTCCCCCAATACTCCTGTGCCATCTTACTTGATCATATTACTTCTCAATACCTTTCTGCATCCCTCTTCCTTCAAACTTTTACATAATTCTGCTCTGCTAACACCTGCGCCAGGCAGTCCTGATCCCCTTGCTTTAGTTGTTCATAGTGTGGTGAGAGTGTCAGACACTCAGACAATCCGAACATAATAGAAGGAGGTGCAAAGTGCTAAGGGGGCTTGAAGAGGAGTATTTGTTCTAGTATGGAGGTCTGGAAGGTCCTCACACAGGAAGTGAAACCTGTTTGAGCCATGAATGAGGAGTTGGGCCATTTTACAGATGAGGAACCTGAGGCACAGAAGTTAAGCAAGTTGCCAAGATCATTCAGCTAGGAAGTGGAAAAAGAGGACTGGAGCCAGGATTCTCTACCCCTAAATATAGAAATTGCTCCTTAACTTCATTGTCTCAGGCATAAGATGAGACCATCTGAATTTACCTCAAAGAATTGAGAAAGATTTGGTATTAGCTTTGGGTCTATAAAATTTGAGATCCACAGAGTTGGTGATTGTGAGCTTGGAGAAGTCTGATGAACCCCAGGACTTGAGTGGCCCAGTTTTTATAAAGGAAATATTTCAGACAAATAAGGCTTACAGAATAATAAGATGAATACTTGTGAACCTACTGCTATTAAAAAAAAAAAATGTTACCAATACAATTGAAGTCCTCTGGGTATCCTTAATCACATCTTACTTAGAAGTAATTACCAACTGGAATTTAGTATTTATTATTCCTACACATTTTCTTTATACATATGTGTCCATTATATATGAATATATACAGATATACAGAGATACATATGATTATTTTTTAATTTTATTTTTACCTTCTTGGGAGCTCTTATACAATATATATGGTTATTGTTTTACCTGTTTAAGGTTTTTGATTGAGTGTCTCCCAAACCACCCCTATGTTCAGAGATTTGCTAGGAGGACCCACAGGACTCAGCATATATATTACTATGACTAAGACTTATTCTCCGATGTAATAAGAATACATACCTGGATCATAGGGGAAAAGGACACTGGCAGAGTCTGGAGGAATCCATTTACAGGCTTCCTTATGCTCTTCTTCCCATGAGGGGTTGCAAAGAGCCCATTTTGCCCCACAACAAAAATGCAGCAACATGTGTTCAATGTTTCTGTCCAGGGAGCCCATTAGAGAGTACCCACAGTTTATTGAGGTTTGGTTATGTGGGCACCATCTTCCTAGCACATAATAAAGACTCCTAGAAAGCAAGCAGGTATTCAGCATAAATCATGCTTTCCAAACTCCTAGAAAGCAAGCAGGTATCCAATATAAATCATAATGCATTCAAACAGTCTGCATAGTCAACTACCCTTTTCATTTAACTGGTGACTGGGAACACTTTGAGAGCCAAGTTTCCAGACACCAGTCAAAAAAGGCCAACCTGCAAGCAGGCATTTCTAAGGATAGCATGTTAGGCCTGCTATGGTAAATCTGCACAAGTACCATTCTCTCTGTACTGTGCAACTTGCTTTTTTGTTCAATATTGTGTTTGTGAAGATAATTTAGATTGATGCCTATAGCTACAATTTATTCTATTTCACTGCTGCATACTGTTAAACATGACAGTTTATTTACCCTATTAATGAACATTTAGGTCTTTTATAATTTTTCACTATTAAACACTTGATGCTTTGAACATTCTTGTATGGATACATCTAATACAGGTAGTGGGATTCCTTGGTGGGAGATGATATACATTTTTGCTTTCCTAGGTATTTCTAAATTTTCCTCCAAAGTGACTGTCCAATTTAGATTCCCTCTATTAATGAAGGAAATACAAGATTGGAATAATTGTGATAGTTGTGTTATCTTTGTGAATAGATTTTTAAATACTGATTTAGATTTTTAAATAGTTGTAAGACTGCACATTTTCCATATCTTAGTTTGGTAACTTTTTCTAAAACTATATTAACTTTAACCAGATTTTCAAACTTAATAAAGTTTGTATAATATTATTTTATTATTTCTGATCTCTGTTTTATCCCTGTTTATGTTCTCCTTTTCATTAATATTGTTTATAACTTTTAAAAATGAGTCTTGCCAGAGGGTTTGCCCATTTTATTAGGTTTGCCAAATAACTAATATTTGCTTTTGTCAATCCCCTCTATTGTACTTTGCTTCTTGTTTCATTTATTTCTGTTCTTATTTTCATCATTTCCTTTTCTGCCTTTTTGGGATTTATTCTGTTGTTCTTTTTCTACATTCTTAAGTTAAATCCTTAACTCACTACTGTTTTGTTGTTCTTGTCTCCTGGCATAGGGTCTTTGCTTGGGTTCTCCCAGAGGAAGGCTCTGAGACCAGGATCTGAGGGCAATAGTATATGTGAGAGATGTAGGGAGCACCATAATGTGGTGGGAAAGGAGGAAGGGAAGAAAAGGTGAGCAGTGAGCGTGTAGCTTTTAGTAGCTATTGATAATTGCTGTCTAGATTAATTATGTCATTAAAGGTTACAAAATGATAAAATTCTATCATTCATTTGGCATTTGTCAGTTAATTGTTTTATAAAGGATAACTTTTCCCCATCAGCTATTTAGTTGCCCTGAAATACGGTTTGTACAGGAGAGGCAGGATACAAAGCTGCTTTTAGGTGACCAAAGTGACTTTTTTCTCCATACGTCAACATGAACTTTCTTTGCAGTCCTTGTTCTTTTTGATGTTCAAATTTTTCCATATTTGGCCAGTGGGATCACCTTCAAATTGACTCTGATCTTCTTTTGACATGACCTGAAATAGTCTTTTATGGCTTTCTTGCTTTCGTTAAGACAAGATGTTCTAGGCTAATCTTATACATTTTCTTCTCTGTACCCAAAATCAGCCATTTTCCCATGGATCCCTGGTTCCTTTGGGGACAAAATAGTATTTTAAGACCCATTATTTGGGCTTACTGCTACTGAGTTGGTCTGTGGTTTAGGCCTTTATTTTATTTTATTTTATTTTTTAAGAAAAATACATCAGGTTGTATTGAGGTTGGTTCCTATGTTCTTTCAAATAACCCTCATCATTTTGTGAATTCTTTATGGCACCACGATGTTCCAGATTCATATTCTATGTTCCCTGCCTCAGCACAGGATTTTTTTTTTTAATGAGAAAAATATCACGAATTCAAATTTACAGAAGCTTTACATTTTTACGTCTTCCAAGTTAGCAGTCTGTCTCTCCTTTTATTGGCGTTTGTAAAATTTCTTCTTTTTAAAATTTTTATATTTTAGAGACAGGGTCTCGCTCTGTCACCAAGGCTGGAGTGCAGTGGTGCAATCACAGCTTACCACAGCCTCTAACTCCGGGGCTCAGGGCATCCTCCCAAAGTGCTGAGATTGCAGGCATGAGCCACCAGGCTCAGCCTATTTCCTTTATGTTGTACTTAGTCCCAGATAAAAAGTGACCTTAGATCAGTCCTTTCCTCTTTCGTTGGGGAGAGGGTGGCTTAGATTCCAGTACGGTGAAACAGAAGAATGGACTCTGTGCTATGTGACAAATATATGTAGGTAAATGTGTGTTACACACACATAGATTATATATATGAATATATTTTCATTTTCATATTTTGCAAGGAGGGTAGCTAATGCTCTGGACCCCCAGTTCTTTCTGTACTCTCTGAGACCCGGAACCTTCGCTCAACTCTCAGGCTGTCCGGGGAAGTTTTAGGTGGTGATACCGAGCTACACACCAACAAATATAAGAGATCGAGGCTATGGGACTGAAGAGAGGCAGTCGCGGTTGGGAACTGAGGTGGGTGCAGGGCTTGAGCTGACCTGGCGAGGGTGGAGTTGGTGCGGGTCCCACGCCGCGGTGGGGACCGAACTGTAGGCAGGAGGGAGGAGCGGCGCCGAGGGGGCGGGACGGGGCGGGCTCGCGGAGGAGGCCCGCGGTTGGCCCCAACTGCCCCGGGCTGCAAGCCTGCGCCCGCCTCCTTCGTTTGCCGCTGCCTCTTTCCGGCTGTTGGCCGCACTTCGTTTCTCGGGGCTTGTCTCCGTGTCCTCCGTCTCTGCTGTTTCTCTGGGTCTGTCTTCCTGTGTCTCCGTCTCCTCAGCCTTGGGGCCAGTGCCTCGCCCGGGCTTCGGCGAATGAGACCTGGGGACCTGCCCCCAAGTCCCATGGAAGAGCCCCCGGCGCCCAGCTCTGCCCCGACAGAGACGGAGGAGCCGGGGTCCAGTGCAGGTGAGCGGGTTTGGGAGACAGGGGAGCTCCCCGAGGAGGATTCAACTGTGGGGACAGGTCGAACAAGACCATCTGCGCTTGGGAAATCCAGACTTGGAATATTGAGACAGAGCCACCCAGTCGACTAGGATCTGACCTGGCCAGAGTATTCTTGGCTAGCCCTATTTTTTAATCGTTCTCACTGAAGCCGAACTGAAACCTCAGAATTATCATTGCAGAGATGAAAGGGAACTGAGGCCGGAAAAACCCTTCTTACCAGAGGTCTGTGGGTGGCGGAAGGAGCCCTGAGCTTCAGTTTGAACTTAGGAGACCTCGGGTCTTGGTCCAGATTTTACTGTGGGGTGATGTTCAGTAAGCTTTGCCCCCATTCTGGGCCCGAGTTTTCCCATCTATACCATGAGAGGGTTTAGAGTACACACCTTCAAAGGTCTGACACGTGGTAAGTGGTCCTTAAATATTAGTTGTTAGGAGTGAATAAATGAGACAGGGAGATCTCCTTCGGGGACTCACTAGAGGCTCATTGGGTTAATTGGGGGGCTGTGGAATTACATTATTATAGTCAGAGAAGTAGACGGTTTTATTTCCGTTTTATAAGTGATGAAACTGAAGCTCAGAGGTAAAGTGACTTGCCAAGTCAAACTTCAGAGTCCATGCTACGTTATACTCTCTCCCAGTAAGAAAGCAGGGAGGACTTGATGGGAAAGTGATTATATTCAAGCAGCAATTATTTGAATTCTGTGCTTAAATGACCCCCAGAGCAGGCCCATATCTAATTCTTTAGTATCCCCATTTTCCAGGAGCTGATTTGTGTGAAATAGTTTGGGTAGCAATGCCAGAATTACCATCTGTGTTACTTAATAGTTTGGGTCGCAATGCTAGAATTACCATCTATGTTACTTCTGTCTTCAACACGATTAGCATAATTATAAAAATTAATGTCACTAATTGTTATGTGATAATAAAGCATAAGTGAAATTGTGAAGACATCAATATTTATAATTTAAAAACCTATTAAAACAGCACTTTAAAATTTATAAAGCACTTTTGAGTGGTTCTTCATATTGATCTGCTTAGGTAGGTATTATTATCCATAGTTTACAAGCAAGGAATCCAAGACCTAGAAGTAACCATCAAAACCTCATGCAGCAAGAAACAGAGCTGCGACATGAATCTAGCCCATATGTCAAGTTGTGCTTCTCCTTTGGTGATTTCTCCATTTTCTCTCCCTTTCTTTTTTCTTTTCTTTTCTTTTTTTTTTTTGAGATGGAGTCTTGCCATGTCGCCCAAACTGGAGTGCAGTGATGCTATCTCAGTTCACTGCACCCTCTGCCTCCAGGTTTAAGTGATTCTCCCGCCTCAGCCTCCCAAATAGCTGGGATTACAGGCGCATGTCACTGCACCCGGCTAATTTTTTTTTTTTTTTGTATTTTTAGTAGAGACGGGGTATCACCATGTTGGCCAGGCTGGTCTCGAACATCTGACCTCAAGTGATTGGCCTGCATCAGCCTCGCGAAGTGCTGGGATTACAGGCCAGGTGTGAACCACTGCACTCAGCCTCTTCCTTTCCTGTTGAGTCCTGCCCCACCCCATGCCTATCCTGTGCTCCATTCTTCTTATCACTGGGAGAATTCCTGTTTAGATTTAACTAATAGTCACATGTTGACTGATGATAATGTTGGTTTAACTTGTAATGAAAGTGTTAAAAGTATGATCACTTTCAGCAGTAAAGAGGGATTTAAATGTTTTTAAGAAAGGGAGTTATAATTGTTATTACCGTCATTGTTATCTGCAGGATTCAAGGAATTAAACCAGAATATACAATAATTGGTAGTTTAGTAACTATCATATATTGTACTCATACTATGTCATAGGCTTTGTAATAGCCACTGTAATTAAGCATTTTAATTTATTTCTATCAGCTACTCTCCTGAATTGTATAGGCGAGGATCCTGAAATATAGAGAAGCTGAATAACATGCCCAAGGTCACATAGTCCTGGCCTGGTCCAAGTCCTATGTTCTCAACCATTACACCAGCCTGGCTCAGAGACAGATTATTTGCTTAGAACAAAGCCTCACCCTCTCAGGGAGGAGAACCTAAACTGAGGGGAGAGAAGTGTGCTCTAGTATTGGGTGAGAAGATAGTCTGCCCTTGCCTATTTTTTGATTCTGCTGTTGAGAGCCTGGGACTGAAATGAAGGGAGGCTTTTCTTCTGGACTGAGCAAGGCCACTCCCCCAATTCCTCTCATGATACTGAGCCATAGTTATTTTCCCTTCTTTAAGTTAGGAACAAATGACTAAATATCCATATGCTATTGATAGAAGTTTGTCCTGATTGACACTAGGAGGCTGAGGCCAAATGCAGTGCAACTTTGCCATATAGTTCATTGCCCCAAAAGCAGCCAAAAGATTGGTCTAAAATCATCATGCCATTCCTCTGTCAAAAACTCTTGAGTGGTCTTCCATCTGTGGAATAAACACCTTAATAAGGTATCTAAGCCTCCCAGAATCTGGGCTGTGCTGACCCCTTCAGTCCCACCTCTGCCCCATCCCTTTACTCCACCTTACTGTAGTCACACTAAACTTCTGAGAGTCCCCACAACTCATTGTGTTTTCTGTCACCTATAGACTTTTCACATCCTCGTCCTCTGCCCTTCTCCTTTTCATTCTCAGTTGGCTAACCCACTGTTTATTCTAATATCCAGCTCACCCATTCATTCAATCATTCAACAAAAATTTATTAAGTGCCTATTTTGTACTAGGCATGGTTCTAGGTGTCATGGTGGAGCAACAAGAAAACAGACATACTCTTGCCCTTTCTGGAGCTTCCATTTTGTAGTATGTATTAAACAAATGTAACATAGGACATATCAGAGTGTGATAAGTGGTGTGGTGAATAGAGCAGGGAAAGAGGCTAGGCTGGGGCAAAGAAGTTGACAGAGAAACCTTACTGATTGGATGATGTTTGAGCAGAGCTGAAGAAGGTGAGGGAGTGTTATGCGGCTATCTGAAACAGTGTTCCAGGCAGAGCATGTGACTATATGAGGCAGGAGCTCTTTTGGCTCAATCATTATTCTCTCCAAAAATCCTTCTCTGGTGCCTTAACCTGGACAGTTGCCACTTTTCTGATTTTCTACTTGCTGTTGTGTTTATTTCTAAAGTAGCACGTGTTACATCATATTATAATTGTCCATGTGTATGTCTGTTTCTCTCACTTGGATTGGGTTTCTTGAGAGCAGAAACCTCTGATCCTTCTCTGTCTTCTCAGCAGCTGTTTTAGGGCTTGACACAGAGGAGGCACCTAGAAATATTTATTGAATAAGTCGTTCTTACAGCCTGATAATACTTACAAATGATTTGTAAGATTGGGTTTGGATGACAGATGGCTTCAGGAAAAAGTAAAGGCTGGTTTTTGTCTGTCTGGCTTGATTCCCCTTTTGGGCCTCTGAGAAGTGGAACACCTAGTTTTCTTTAATAATACTTATTGTGAACGTTATGGCAGGCTAGCCAACCTGTAAAATGGTGGATAAAATATAACAAAGCCAGCTGGGCACGGTGGCTCATGCTTGTAATCCCAGCACTTTGGGAGGCTGAGGCCGGTGGATCACCTGAGGTCAAGAGTTCGAGACCAGCCTGGCCAACATGGTGAAACCCTGTCTCTACTAAAAATGCAAAAAATTAACCAGGCGTGGTGGTGGGCACATGCAATCCCAGCCACTCGGGAGACTGAGGCAGGAGAATTGCTTGAACCCAGGAGGTAGAGGTTGCAGTGAGCTGAGCACACGCCATTGCACTCAAGCCTGGGCAACAAGAGTGAAACTCTGTCTCAAAAGAAAAAAAGAAGAAGAAAATATAACAAAGCCTTTATAGCTGAATTTGTGAGAAAGTAAGAAATCTTGAGGGACCTAGAAACTGAGAGTGAACTGAAAACCAGAGTGGTTAGCTCCTTAATCTGCCCTCAGCTATACTGTATGTCTCACCTAGAAACTTGGACTTTAATAGGCTTGTTGTTATACCAAATGAAGCTACAGGTCTGCATGGGTTAAATTCTAGTTTTTGACAGATGAATGGCATGTGAAATCCTCACATCAAACTAGGTCCCTTGAAAATCTGCACCCTGTGGAGGGTGTATACATTCTGGTAGGGTAGACTAGTATCTTCATTCATTTTCTGTTGCTTATAACAGAATACCTGAAACTGGATAATTTATAAAGAAAATAAATTTCTTATAGTTGAGAAATCCAAGGTCCAGAGGCCACATCTGGTGAGGGCTTTCTTGCTGGTGGGGACTCTGCAGAGTCCGGAGGCGGCACAGGAGGCTGACTATGCTAGCTCAGGTCTCTAGTTTTCCTCTTATAAAGCCCCTAATGCAACTCCCATGATAACACATTAATCCATTCATCAATTCATGAGGACAGAGCCCTCATAACCCAATCACCTCTTAGAGGCCCCACCTCTCAACACTGTCATACTGGGGATTAAGTTTCAACATGAGTTTTAGAGGGAACAAATATCAAGCCAGAGCAACTAGGAAAAAAAAATATCTCCCTATTGACACAGAGAGAAGATGAAGAAGATTGCCTTTTATCTTAGGCTCTCATACAGAAAAAAAGTTTTCCCAGAAAATTCTTAACCACAGACATTCACTCATGCAGATACCCAAATGGCCTAGAAACTCCATGCCAAGAAGTTGACATTAAAAACTATCTCAGGCTGGTAGTACCCCTGGATGCTTGGCAGAAACAAATGCAAAACCTCTCTGCTCCAAGATACGTACTTGACACAGGCCACATAGGATTCCCACAGGGTCTGGAGTTAACAAAATTCTCATTTAAGTGAGAATGTATATTGCTTGCTTTGTGCTATTGAGAGCATATGTTATCCTTGTATAAATAAACATTTGAATATGTCTGTGCCTCCTCTTTGCTCTCCAAAAGTGAAATGATGAGGCAGAATTTATATGCGGGCCAGCATCTGGGTATAGATCCACATTGAGCTGCCTTCTATCCTTGCAGAGGTAATGGAAGAAGTGACAACATGCTCCTTCAACAGCCCTCTGTTCCAGCAGGAAGATGACGGAGGAATTACCTACCGGATCCCAGCCCTGCTCTACATACCCACCACCCACACCTTCCTGGCCTTTGCAGAGAAGCGTTCCACGAGCAGGGATGAGGATGCTCTCCACCTGGTGCTGAGGCGAGGGTTGAGGATTGGGCACTTGGTACAGGTGACTCCTCGTCCCAGATCTGAGTCTGGGCCTCAGTCTCTCTCTACAGAGCTCAGAGTTCTTCAAGATCTGAAGAACAGAGCCTTTTCTTATCAGTATAGGAAAGCTCTGTGTGGGGAGCAGAGGTGGAAAAAACAGCAAAAATAATGGCTCTCACTGAGTGCTTATTGTGTGCCAGGGGCACATTGAATCCTCACAGCCATTCTATGTCGTAGGTACTGTTGCCAGTCATATTTTACAGACAAGGAAACTGAGACTTAGGTTGCCATTTGCTCAAGGTTATATAGCTATAATACAGCAGTAGAAGCTGGCTTCAAACTCAGTCACTGACTCCAGAGACCTCCACAGTTATTTAGATTCAGCCAGCGTGTGATGTGCTTTTTATTTATATTCCCTTTAATCCTCATAAATCACCCAGGGAAGTAAGCACTGGTAGTCCAATTTTGCTGATGGACGATCCTGGTGCTCCAAGAGGTAAGTAACTTGCTCAGGACCACATTTAGCAGATGCTGGAGGGATACCAGTAACAACCATACTTATATTACTAAAAGCTTTATGTGAGACACATTTTATTATCCCCATTTTGCAGGAGGTAACCAGGACTGAGAATTAAGGTCACTTGTTTTGGCCGCACATCTAATAAATGGCAGAACTGGAGTTGGAGCCCTTTCTCTTGAGTAAAAGAACATTTTTACTGTATTTTTAGTGAGGAAAGAATGGTTGCAGTTCTTTGGCCTGGAAGCTACAGGGTTATTTCAGACTCCAAATAGGCATACCTCAGAGATATTGTGGATTTGGTTCCAGATGACCACAATAAAGTGACTGTCACAATAAAACAAGTCACATGAATTTTTTGGTTCCCCAGTGCATATAAAAGTTATGTTTATATATAGTGTAGTCTGTTAAGTGTGCAGTAGCATTATGTCTTTAAAAAAAGTATACACCTTAATTTAAAAATATTGCTGAAAAGTAATGATTATTTGAACCCTTGGCTAGTAAGTCTTTTTGCTGGAGTGGGTTTTGCCCTGATGTTGGTGGCTGCTGACTTATCAGGGTGGTGGTTGCTGAAGACTGGGATGACTGGGTAATTATTATTATTTTGTAGAAGATTTCCTATTCACATAAGTAATTTCTTAAAATAAGACAACAGTCTGGGCACAGAACTTTGAGAGGCCAAAGTGGGAGGATTTCTTGAGCTCAGGAGTTCAAGACCAGCCTGGGCAACATAGCAAGACCTTACCTCTAATAAAAATAAAAAACATTAGGTGGGTGTAGTGGCACACACCTGTAGTCCCAGCTACTCGGGAGGCTGACTTCAACTTGAACTCTTGACCCCAGGAGTTCAAGGCTGTAGTGAGCTGTGATTGTGCCACTGCACTCCAGCCTGGAGGACAGAGCAATACCCTGTCTCCTCCCAACAAGAAATAAGACAACAATGAAGTTTGCTGAAACAGTTGACTCTTCCTTTCACAAAAGATTTATCTGTAGCATACAATGCTACAGAATTTGATAGCATTTTTCCCGTAGTAGAACTTCTTTCAACATTGAAATGAATCCTCTTAAACCTTGCTGCTGCTTTATCAACTAAGTTGATGTAATATTTAAAATCCTTTGTTGACATTTTGACAGTGTTTACAGCATCTTCATCAGAAGTAGATTCCATCTCAAGAAACCACTTTCTTTCTCATCTATAAGAAGCAACTCATTTGTTCACATTTTATCATAAGATTGCAGCAATTTAGTCACATCTTTAGGCTCCACTTCTAATTCTCTTGCTGTTTCCACCATATCTGCAGTTACTTCCTCTACTGAAGTCTTGAACCCCTCAAAGTCATCCATGAGTGTCGGAATCAACTTCTCATTTTCTCTTAATGTTGATATTATGACCTCCCATGAATCATGAATTGTCTGAATGTCATCTGGACTAGTGAAATTTTTCCAGAAGGCTTTCAGTTTACTTTGACCAGATTCATCAGAGGAATCACTATCTATGGCAGCTATGGTCTATGAAATGTATTTCTTAAATAGTGAATCTTGGAAGTTGAATGACTCCTTGATCCATGGGCTACAGAACGGATGTTGTATTAGTGAGCATGAAAACAACATTAATCTCCTCATACATCTCCATCAGAGCTCTGGGATGACAAGGTGCGTTGTCATTGACCAGTAATATTTTGAAAGGAATCTTCTTCCTGAGCAGTAGGACTCAACAGGTGGCTGTAAACAAAAGTGCTTCATCCAGGCTTTGTTTTTATTGTAGAGCACTGGCAGAGTAGATTTAGGATAGTTCTTGAGGGCCCTAGGATTTTTGAGTGATAAATGAGCATTGACCTCAACTTAAAGTCACCAGCCTGTCTCTCTATTCGTGAAAGTCCTAGTTGGCATTTTTCAGTAGAAGCTTGTTTTGTCTACGTGGAAAATCTTTTGTTTAGTGTAGCCAACTTTGTCAGTTACCTTAGCTAGATCCTCTGGATGACTTGCTATAGTTTCTCCTATCAGCATTTGCTGTTTCACCTTGCCCTTTGTGTTATGGAGACAGCTTCTTGCCGTAAAACTCATGAACCATTCTCTGCTACTTTCCAACTTTTCTTCTGCAGCTTCCATACCCCTCTCAGCTTTTGTAGAATTAAAGAGAGTTAGGGCTTTGCCCTGGTTTAGGCTTTGGCTTAAGGGAATGCTGTGGCTGGTCTGATCTTTTATCCAGACTTCTAAAACTTTCTGTATATCAGCAATAAGACTGCTTTGCTTTCTTATCATTCCTGTATTCACTGGAGTACCACCGTTAATTTCCTTCAAGAACTTTTCCTTTGCATTTACAACTTGGCTGTTTGGCACAAGAGCCCTAGCTTTTGGCTTGTCTTGGCTTTTGACATACCTTCCTCATAAGTTTAGTCATTTCTAGCTTTGATTTAAACTGAGAGATCGTTGTAGGGTTACTAGTTGGCCTAATTTCAATATTGTTGTGTTTCAGGGAATAGACAGGCTAAAGGAGAGTGAGAGAGACGGGGGAACAGTTGGTTGGTGGAGCAGTCAGGACACATACAGCATTTATCAAGTTCACCATGTAATATAGGCTTAGTTGTCATACCCCAGAACAATTATAATAGTAACATCAAAGATCACTGATCAAAGATCATCATAACAGATATAATAATAATGTTTGAGATATTGTGAGAATTAGCCAAAACATGACAAAGACATGAAGTGAGCACATGCCATTGGAAAAAGGGCACGAGGTTTGTGGCACAGATTGCCACTGAAGGTTTGTGGCAACCCTGTGTCACAAACCTTCAGTTTGTAAAAATAATATCTGAGAAATGCGGTAGAACAAAGTGCAATAAAATCACACATGCCTGTTTTTCTTCCTGTTCCTTTCTCTCCTAGGGCTAGCTTAAGTGAGACAAATGAGACAGTGGTTTTGAAAGTCTTTTGTAAAAATATATATATAGCCATATCATCTCTCTATATCTTTATACTAGGCACTTTAATACTCCTAACCTACCCCGCTTTTTTACCTACAGATGCCTCAAATCTGACCATTAAATCTTCATATCCACAGCAGATAACCTTGTTTTACTGTTGAAGTGCACAGTGCAAATGCTATTCTGCTGAACATGGGCCTTGCCATCAATGCCTATCTTTGCTTGTGATGACATTGGCTCACATTGCCTACATTTTCCCATTGGTGAAGTTTTTTACTTTAAGGGATTTTCAGTTCCTACTCTTTCACCTTGTCATGAGTCTTTCTCATGGCTTCTTAGGACCAGACTTCTGCATGTATAACTAGCCTCCTCAGAGGCCCAGCCCTGCAGCCCAGTAGAACTTGGAATTCTAGCTCTTTCCTTTTTTCTAGGACAGACATTGCCTGTGGTTATCGGTCATGTTGCACTGTTTTTGATCACAGACAGTGGGCTGTCAAGCATTTTTTTAAATTGTTATTTTTTAGAGACAGCTTCTATGTTGCCTAGGCTGGTCCTGAACCCCTAGCTCAAGCAACTTTCCTGTCTTAGCCTCCCGAGTAGCTAGGACTACAGGTATACACCACTCCTGAGTAGCTAGGACTACAGATGCCCAGCCTTTTAAATTTTAACTATCGGTCTGTTTGCCTGCCTGTCTTTCTAGAGATGAGGCTGCTTTGTGTTTCCCAGGTGGGAGTGTAGTGGCTATTCACAGGCATGATCATTGCATACTACAGCCTCAAACTCCTGGCCTCAAGCAATCTTCTTGTCTAAGCCTCCTGAGTAGCCATTACTACAGGCAGGTGCCACTGAGCCCAGCAAGCATTTTTTTATCAGACCATACTGGTTACATAACTTTACTACTCAGTAGTCACACATATTCACAAACATGTCCACTTTAACTCATTCTCTCTTTATTTCATTCTCTTATTTATTTCGTTGTAGAATCTTGAAGTTAGAAGACTCATGAGCCCAATTTCTTTCCCAATATAGAAATCTGTATTCTATTGGTAGCTACTAAAATCTTACTGGTTAACAGCATGGCTTTGGAGTCAGTCAAGACCTGCTATTTATTGACTTTGTGACCTGGGATACTTGACTCTTCTCTGTTTCATCATCTGCAACATGTAATTAAAATAGTTATTACACAGTAAGAACTCGACATTAGTCATCTTCCATTAAGGGTCTCCTTGCACAACTCTACAAATAAGCACCTGAATGCTGTGGCAGCTGTTTTTTTGTGTGTGAATGAGATGATCTCTACTTCTCTATAATTACCCACTGGTTTTGTCCTGCTTTCTGGAGCAATCTATATCGCATATAGATAAAATCTCTTTTTCAGAGAACTACTCTTAGAAGTACCTGAAAGCTGCATTCATGTCCTCTGAGCATTCTGTTTCTGAGCTAAAAAGCTTTAGTTCTTTCTGTCACTTCTTAGGACACAGCCCTGATTTGGTTTCTGGTCCCTTGAAAATTGCGATTACCGTCCTTGGGATCTAGTCTGAGATGGCAGTGTCCTTTTTTAAAGTAGGATGCTCAGAATTGAACTTAGGACTCCAAGGGTAGACTGACCAGCTCAGTAATGAGGTGAGCTATCGTATCTTGTATCCTTGTAATGCAGTTGAAGGTAAAATAGCACTTTCTTGGTAGCTGCATAGCACAGTTGACTAATGTTGAGTAGATGGTCAGCTAAAACCTCCAAGTCTTTTTCACATTTGTTGTTCTTTTTAAAGAAATTAATTGTAGTTAAATACATCTAACATAAATTTTACCATCTTAACCATTTTTAAGTGTATAGTTCAGTAGTGCCGGGAATATTCAAATTGTTGTGCAACCAATCTTCAGAACTTTTTATTTTCAAAACTGAAATTCTATACCCATTAAATCTTCCTCCTCAGTCTCTGGCAACCACTAATCTACTTTCTTTTTCTATAAGTTTGACTACTCTAGATATGTCATATAAGTGGAATTGTATAGTGTTTGTCTTTTTGTGATGGCTGTTTCTCTTATATAATTCCTCAAGTTTCATCCATATTGTAGCATGTATCAGAATTTCCTTCCTATTTAAGGCTGAAAAATATATCATTGTATGTATATACCATATATTTTGTTTATTCATTCTTTTTTTTTTGAGGCAGGGTCTCACTTTATTGCCCAGGCTGGAGTGCAGTGGCATGATCATGGCTCTGCAACCTCAAACTCCTGGACTCAAGCAATCCTCAGCCCCCTGAGTAGCTGGGACTACAAGCGCCACCACACCCAACTAATTTATTATTAATATTTTTTGTAGAGATGGGGTATCAATATGTTTCCCGGGTTCCATTCATCTCTTGATGGATACTTTGGTTGCTTTTCCCTGTTGGCTATTGTGAATAACATTGCTATGAATCAGGGTGTGAAAATATCTCTTTGAGACCTTGCTTTCAATTCTTTTGGACATAAACACAGAAGTGGAATTTCTGGATCATATGGTAATTTTATATGTAATGAGAAACTGCCATACCATTTTCCATAGTGGCTGCACTATTCTATATTCCTACCAACAGTACACAACAGTTCTAGTTTTACACTTCCTCACCAACACTTATTTTCTGGTGTGTGTGTGTGCATGTGCATGTGTCTATGTGTGTGGTAGCTGTCCTAATAGGTGTAAGGGTGATACCTCATCATGGTTTTGAGTTGCATTTCCCCATTAATTAGTGATGTTGAACATATTTTCATATGCTTCTTGGCCATTACATTTGTTCTTATTTTTCTTTTTTTTTAAGATGGAGTCTCATTCTGTTGCCCAGGCTGGAGTGCAGTGCTCTGATCTCGGCTCACTGCAACCTCTGCCTCCCAGGTTAAAGTGATTCTCCTGCCTCAACCTCCCAAGTAGCTGGGACTACAGGCAGGTGCCATCACGCCTGGCTAATTTTTTTGTATTTTTAGTAGAGATGGGGTTTCACCATTTTGGCCAGGATAGTCTTGAACTCCTGACCTCAAGTGATCCACGTGCCTAGGCCTCCCAAAGTATTGGGATTACAGGTGTGAGCCACAGCACCTAGCCTACATTTGTACTTTAATTAGTTTTACCTCTGCAAATTTTTACCCACAACTTGTTTTATCTCTGTCAAGCCTCAGCTTGTTTTGTATGTCCCATTGCTCCAGCTACTAGATCATCTTAGATTCCAAGGCTTTCATGCTTTATTTACTGTTTCTTCCACCTTCATGTCAACCGTATGTTAGATATATCTAGCTCAAATTATTTTCTCCTCTTAGCCATTAAGGATGACTAAACTTCTGACTTCCCCAAAATTAGACTGCTTAATAAGTAAGCTGACTTGATCACATATCTCTGGCATGTTTAGAGTGCTCAGGGCACTCTGGTATGGAATGGACTGTCCCAGAGATCTTGAATTCACTGTGGCCTGGTTGGCAGAGAGAGAGACTCCATCTCAAACAAACAAAAGATTATGGAAATCTTTCCATATCACTATATATGGAAAAAAGATCTTCCTTTTTCTTTTTTTACCCCATGTATTACGTGTTCATTTCACCCATCCTCTGTTGATGAATATTTGGGTTGTTTGTAGTGTTCTGCTACTTCAAGCAATGCTGCATTGGAATAATCTTATATATACTTAATTTGATGAGCAGAGATATATCTTAGGATGAATTCCCAAAATTGGGCATGATGGGAAAAGATAAATGTATTTATAATTTTGATATATGTCCTACATACAGGTTGAACCATTTGCACTTCAATCCACATATGAAAGTGTCAGTTTCTTCACATTTGCTAACATAGTATTGTCAAGCTTTATGATTTTGCTAATTTGATAGATGTAAAATGCTACGTCAATTTAGTTATTTTTTTATTTTTAGAGGTGGGGTTTTGCCATGTTGCCCAGACTGGTCTCGAACTCCTGGGCTCAAGTTATCTTAAAGTGCTGGGATTACCGCATGAGCTACTGTGCCTGGCCATTGTCAGTTTAGTTTTAATTTGTATTTCTCTTTTATAAGTGAAGTTGGACTTTTTTTTTCTCTTTCTATGAGCTGTCTGATCTTGCCCTTTGCCCATTTCTGTTGGATTCCTGGAAAGTTTCTTACCAGTTTCTAGTATTTTGAAAATATATTAGGGAGATTAGACCTTTCTTTATTTGCAATATGTCTGATTAGGCATTATCTAATTTGTATCCTTATAACAACTCCTCTGTGAGGATGTTATTAAATTTTCCATTTAACTGATGAAGAAATCGAGGTAAAATAAGATTAAGTAACTTGCCCACAGTCAAAATAAATGATGAAAGGATGGTTTGAACTAGATGTTTCTGACTCTATGCTTGAGTTTTCAACAAGTTATAAATTGCCTTCCCAGTGTCGTACAGGAAGGAAAAAAACAATTTTTCCTAAATTTCTCTTTATTTGCCTAAAATTTCCTTATTTGTCTGCCTGGCTTTTCTTCCTTTTCTTCTTTCTTTCTTTCCTTTCCTTTATTTTTTATCTTTCTTTCTTGTAAAAATATTTAGCTCCTATTATGTACCAGGTGCTGGAGAGTCAATATTAGTAACTAATAGTGTAAACTTTCAAAACGCTCATAGTCTAGGAAAGGAAGACAGTCACAAAAAGTTACAATGTTATGCACTAAATATATTATAAGAGGAGAGTGAGTTTCATGGAAGGCTTTATAAAGGAAGTGACTTTTGAGTTGGGTATGGAGGATGATTTGGAAATCTAGATGAAGTGAGGAAGAGCATTCCAGACAGAGGGGACAGCTTGTACAATATTTAGCATTGTCTCTTTCCAGCTTTTTAAGTCATCCTGTAATATCTGAGAATTTAGTGAGTAGTCAGGCCTTCATGATTTTATAGATTTTAATATCATTTATTTCTTATTTAAGAAAAATACTAGTACTTTTAATGAGCTTCACGTTTTCCTATTAGTATCTCACTCCTATTCTCTCTCTCTCTTCCTTGTATAGTGGGGGCCCTTGAAGCCACTGATGGAAGCCACACTACCTGGGCATCGGACCATGAACCCCTGTCCTATATGGGAGCGGAAGAGTGGTTGTGTGTTCCTGTTCTTCATCTGTGTGCGGGGCCATGTCACGGAGCGTCAGCAGATTGTGTCAGGCAGGAATGCTGCCCGTCTTTGTTTCATCTGCAGTCAGGATGCTGGATGTTCATGGAGTGAGGTGAGGGACTTGACTGAAGAGGTCATTGGCCCAGAGCTGAAGCACTGGGCTACATTTGCTGTGGGCCCGGGTCATGGCATCCAGCTGCAATCAGGGAGACTGGTCGTTCCTGCATATACCTACTACATCCCTTCCTGGTTCTTTTGTTTCCGGTTACCATGTAAAACCAGGCCTCATTCTCTGATGATCTACAGTGATGACCTAGGGGTCACATGGCACCATGGTAGACTCATTAGGCCCATGGTTACAGTAGAATGCGAAGTGGCAGAGGTGACTGGGAGGGCTGGTCACCCTGTGCTATATTGCAGTGCTCGGACACCAAACAGGTGCCGGGCAGAGGCTCTCAGCACTGACCATGGTGAAGGCTTTCAGAGACTGGCCCTGAGTCGACAGCTCTGTGAGCCCCCGCATGGTTGCCAAGGCAGTGTGGTAAGTTTCCGGCCACTGGAGATCCTGCATAGGTGCCAGGACTCTAGTAGCAAAGATGCATCCACCATTCAGCAGAGCTCTCCAGGCAGTTCACTGAGGCTGGAGGAGGAAGCTGGAACACCATCAGAATCATGGCTCTTGTACTCACATCCAACAAATAGGAAACGGAGGGTTGACCTAGGTATTTACCTCAACCAGACCCCCTTGGAGGCTGCCTGCTGGTCTCGCCCCTGGATCTTGCACTGTGGGCCCTGTGGCTACTCTGATCTGGCTGCTCTGGAGGAGGAGGGCTTGTTTGGGTGTTTATTTGAATGTGGGACCAAGCAAGAGTGTGAGCAGATTGCCTTCCGCCTGTTTACACACCGGGAGATCCTGAGCCACCTGCAGGGGGACTGCACCAGCCTTGGTAGGAACCTGAGCCAATTCAAGAGCAATTAATTGACTCAGGACTCAATTTCCATAGATAGAAATGGTAGTTACAGCCAGGTTAACAGAAGCTACTGAAGTCTACAGAGAATCAAAAAACTTAATATTCTGTTCCCTACCTTTTTTCTCTTCTCCCCCTCCAAAGAGCAAAATGAAAAATTTGCCTTAGTTACTGCAGTGGCAAGGGCACTGAACAAGGAGTTGGAAGACAAGAATGTGGTCCTGGCTCTGCCACTGGCTTGCTTTTGGACCTTGGATGTGTCACCTGAATTCTCTGGGCCTCAGGTTCCCATCTGTAAAATGAGAATATTGGTTCTAAGATTTCTCATCTTCCCATCCCTAGGAGAAGCAGAATGCCTACATGCTTCATGATCAGTAAGTCCTGGCTGCATAAAGGACTCTGATGCCAAAATGGAAATCAGAGGACTTATCTTTTCACATGAATCACCCCTCATCCAAGTGTGAGGTTACAAGCAGGTGTCATGGCAGGAAGGAAGATCAGATCTGTATGATTTGTTCCATTTTTAATAAGAAAAATATCCACACCCTTCTAATCATGCTCAGAGCTCTGTAGGCTCTCTGTCCTAGAGGATTTGAGCAAAACAGAAGAATCATGAAATCTCCTACCTCATGAAAAACTACAGCTTTGTAGTTCTGCTTACCTTCTCTTCCTCATCCAGAAAGTATCATTTTCTAGGGAGAGCAATTAGAAGTTCAATGCCAGTAGTACTGGATAATAGTGTGTATTGCTTCTGGTGGTATTACCTTGGTGAAGGATGGGCTGAAGTTCAGAATTCAGTCAGGGCCTCCCTTATTAGGATGGTTCCTGATGGGGAAGGACATGGATTAGAACTTTAAAACAATGGACAGAATTTCCCACAGTCTCTGCCCTCGAGGAGTTTACCAGTTTATGGGGCTAGAAGGGGGAGAAATTTCAAGAAAATAAATGTAGTTTTTGGGAGGGTTTGTAGATGTTGGGCTATACCTTGGGGTGATGGTAGCTGCTGATGTAATTTTTTTAGTTGCATCTTCAGTGCTCCTGGAATCATCTGTCCAAGGCTTGTTCAGGCTTCTGGATTTCCCTTAAGTTGGTTTTTCTCAGGATATTGTCCTGGCCCCAGCTACTCCTTTACCTGTGAGAAGATTTTCACCATTAGGAAGATCTCTGGACCCCCAAACCTCAGAATTAGGCCTGTTTATGTGGACCCACGGAAATCACTACTTGTGAAGTAGGGATGGCTTTTTGTCTAATGGTTTTCGTGCTGAAGTTAATCCATGCTGAGTCTCTCAGATGCCACATTGGTTGTGCCTATCTTAGATTGTTTCCCCATAGCCCGTTATTGTGACAGAAATTCTGTTGTGAGAGATTTATTTTTTGGCCCTATTTTAGAAAGCTAATGCTTAAACTGGTATCAACTAAATATATTTGGTGTTGTATAATGACCATGGAAAACAAGTCTTAGTCATGAAATAATAGCCTAGGAGGCTAGGGGTTATAGTTGCACTAGTTGGGTAGAGAAAATCCTGCAGGATAAAAGTGGAGATTAACTTTACCTACTTTAGCCGATTGCTTAAGTCATGGCTTAGAGTGACTTAAAAATTCCCTTCCCTTCTCCTACATTTGACAAAGTAATCTTCCCAGTATACAATAATTTATTCACTCATGTATACATTTATCTAAATATTTCTTGAGTGCCTAATACAAGATACTTTCTACTGCCATTCCTTGGCTCAAAATCATTTGTGGGTCCCCATTGCCTATTAAAGGATATTTACATTTAGCATGACAGGTAGGCCCTTCCAGCTGTTGGGTGAAATAATGCAGATACTTTCCTCTTCTTCCTTATATGAGGCCCATTGTCAGGGAAAACCTCTTTAAAGTTGGCAAGTGGAGGAATTGGGGAAAGGGAAAGGATTAAAAGGGTAGCCTCCTCCTGAGTGGTAGAAACTCCTTATTCAGCAAAGCTTTCCTGAACACTATACTGCAAGTGGATAGGAATAGGGAGGATGTCCAAGTCCTACGACCAGGGCTAAAGGATGAAAAGAATGAGAATATCGACTTCTTTAGGACTACTCAAGAAGGGAGTCAAGGCAGGGACCTTCATCCTGTGCAGTGTGACCCAGAGATGTCTAATACCAGTACTCATAAGAGGTCTATTTCTAAATTGCCCTTCGCTTAACTTCTTCCCCTGCCTCATGTTTTTTCCCTTTAATGACTAGCATCAAAACTCTTTAACTGGGGCAGGCCTCTGGGCTAGTTCAAGAATAGTAAGAAAAGGGGATTGGGAACAGGGGAAGTCCAGAATAAGGACCTGAGAGAGGAACAGAGTAGGTGATGGCAGCTGTGAAGAAAAAGAACAGATCAGAAGAATCCTGACACCTTAGGAAGAGAGAGGAAGTATCACAGACGTGAGGCCTAGGCTAGAGAGATGGTGTAGGTGGTAGCTGCTGTGAAGAAGAAATGACAACAGCCTGGAGCTGTTCCCTGAAACCTGTGGGAAGGAAGAGAGACCTGCACAGGCCAGCACTTAGCTTGTGGAAAAGGTTCTCATTCAACACTGCAACTTTTAGCTGGCTTAATTTGTCCACACTGCAGATGACCAACAAAGACAGCTATAGACACTCCAACTCTGTGCCAATTACCCAAGGCCTTCAGGGTCCTGGGACCTATTCCATGATTCTGGTACTCTAACCCATTTCAGCCACCCTCAGATTAGTAGAGTGGGAAAGATAGGGCAGGTGGTAACAGCTGTGAAGAAAAGAGGAAAGCGGGTGCGAGGCCTATAATCTATAGGCATGTAGAGAGGACTACCTACATAGGCTGTGGTCCTTGGCCCTCAGGAGCTCCCATCCTGTCCCTTGGACTCTAAGAATGGATCCATCCAGCACACGTGACGTAACACTGAGAGTGCAGGAAGCATGGGTAGGGGCCTTCTGCCGACACAGCCTAGTGGCTGTGTTCATGTTCTCACTCTTCACCTCAGGCCGTTGTCTGGGTACTTAATTTGGACTTGTTTCCCCCAGTCACCAGTCTCCCCTCAGTTATCCACAGGACATGAAGCAGCTTCAGCCATGGATAAGAGGCTTTTCACTCTGCCTGTTGGGTAGCCCAAAGGACCCACGAAGGTCAACCTGAGGCTGCACGGCCTCCTCCCCAGGGCAGCAGGAATTGATATCTCACTTTATCCAGATTGGGCTTCTCATTCTTCTCCAGGAGGTCATAATTCGCCTCTCTAGTAGGCCATGCATCCGTCTCTGTGGTGCCAGAATCCAGTCAGGGCCTCCCTTTGGTCCTTACCATAGGCTGCCATGTGTTATTGTCTATGTCGTGCCCTCTAGGCCTCTGCTTGGCTGTGAACTCATTGACTGACTCCTCACTGTGTCCTTTTTACCTTGAATCACAATGGCTTATCTAAAAATATATAATTTTTTCTATCACATTCTGAATTCCCTGGAGGTAAGGACTATATCTGATTCCTCTCTTTGTCCTTTGCACCCAGAATAGGGCCTGAAACAGAGTAGCCAGGAGTAAAGATATGTTGAATGAATGAATGAGCCAACGATCCTTGGCCTTTGAAGCTAATTGAGAAGGCCAGGGGGAGTTCCACTGTAGGGAGGAGAATGTTGCATCCGTTTGTAGATTATGTGGCATTTGGAACCTGCTGAACACTTACCCTCACTGTGTATTCTCTGTTCTGACTTGCTTCCAAGTCAGTTACAGTACTTCCTGGGGATGGGCCTTTCTCTGGCTTGAGCTCCCTGGCTTTCCCAAAGATCACAGCCCAAAAGGTGCAGTGGGGAAAATTTATGGCCTATTGGAGAAGAGTGAGCAGCCTAATCAAGCCAAGCCTTGATTTGGGGTTCTCACTTCACTGGCATTTTCCCTCTGTCCCCAGTGGATTTTCTATAATTAATACTTTTCCAGGCCTCCATAGGAGATGCTGAAGCTCAGTGTGTTCTGACTGTGTCTTCGCTTTGCGATGCTGAGTGCCAGAAATACTCTATACCATAAAAACTACCATCGTTCTTTGAAACAAGGAAAATAAAGAGCTTAATCCTGGTGACTTTTTTTTTTTTCTTAAACTGTATGATGATGATGATTTTTTTTTTTTTTTTGAGACGGAGTTTCACTCATGTTACCCAGGCTGGAGTGCAATGGTGCGATCTCAGCTCACCACAACCTCTGCCTCCTGGGTTCAGGCAATTCTCCTGCCTCAGCCTCCTGAGTAGCTGGGATTACAGGCACGCGCCACCATGCCCAGCTAATTTTTTGTATTTTTAGTAGAGACGGAGTTTTACCATGTTGACCAGGATGGTCTCGATCTCTTGACCTTGTGATCCACCCGCCTCGGCCTCCCAAAGTGCTGGGATTACAGGCTTGAGCCACCGTGCCCGGCCTGTATGATGATTATTATACTAATATCTAGTTTGTGCCCAACTTCTTTTAAAAAATGAATTTGAGGCAGTTTCTTGGTTTTCATAAGAACTTTTGCTTTCAGAAAACTTTACTAATGATAATCCTTTGCACTTTTACATGTTGTTATTTGAACATAATTACCTATTAAGGGAAGCAGAGCAGGGATTTCCATGCCTGGTTCCGGAGCACAATGTCATACACTAGCTTTTAAGAGGAGGAGCCAGAGGCACAGAGTCACCACTGACACCAATGCTGGTGCTTGCCACTGCATATCTTATCCTTTTTTCAAAACACCTTGAGATTATTCTCAATTTGTAGCTGAAGAGGCCACAGATATTTATTAATACCCAAATCAAGTGGAATGATAGCTTTAACTTAACTGCTGATTTTTATTTGACTTTGTTCCATTGAGATGTTTAAGGCACTATGGAATTTGGCCAAATGTTTCAGCATAACTCCTTAAGCTCTGTCAGTAGATCAGTCTGCTCTCTTAAATTCACTCTTGGAAAGCTGTCAGGCTGAGCATGGTGGTTCATACCTGCAATCCCAGCACTTTTGGAAAGCTGAATCACAGAAAAACATCCTTGGCTGGTGGAGAATGCCTCTGTCGGTAGAAACCTGAAAGAATGGAGCCAGGCAGAAACTGATAAGGGTTGAGAGGTGGCGAGAGTCCTAATAATAGCCAGTAGGGTCCTTCACTGTTGTGACCTACCAGCCTTTATTTCTTAAGCTAGTTTGAATTATATATTTATATGTCTTGCAACCAAAAGAATTTAAGTACCCATCCTCACAGAAAATTTGATTAATTGGTACCTCAACCGGTCAGTCACTACCTGGAACTGAAATACAAACCATGAGGAATTAACCTTTTTTTTTTCTAAGTTTGCATGCACTCTCTTGCCTCTATCACCTCAAGAAGCCTTTATGGAATCCCCACTTGCTCATTTCCTGGCTTGGGCATTACAGCTACCTTGATCTCCTCTCTGGTTACAGCGTGTGCAGCTTGTAATTCATCTTCATCCTCTTTGCTTATTAGTGCCTTCTTGAGGGGTGGCTTTGAGACTGCTTTATCAATATCATCATCTGGCAGTTTGGACAGATTCCTTGGTTGATTGATAGTCCCTGAATGACATGTCCAGTTTCTGTTTGCATGCATTTACAGCTTTGGGAACTTAGCAGGTGGTAGTTCTTCACGTTCTCGTAGCCTAAATGCTTTGAGGAAAGGAAATAGTTTCTCACCATGTTCCTCAATCAGGCGTCTTTTGACCCTCAGGAACCTCATGATGTCATGACCTACGCCAGGCAACAAATCTGCATGGTTGAAACCTTCCTCAGTGAACCTATGCATTGTCACATATGGTGTAATTTCAGAAAATGTGGCAATGAGTTTAAATTGGCTTTTAAAGGCACACAGGGTCATCCCTAGGCTTGGGTCAGCATCAAGTTTAAAAAGAAAGTATGTGATTTTGATGTCAAGGCCTTTGCATGCTAATCATGATGCAACTTCTTTAAAGTCAAGCACAGATCGACTGACAGAGACACCTCCAGACCTGATGGCAGATAGTAGAGCATTAAATCTTTTGGTGATTTGTTGCATTGGATTGCCACTCAGCTTGCGCACAATGTAATATATCAGAGAGAAGGCAGCTTTAACGGCTTTGTGCTTGCATGGAAGTTGCTCATTTTGTTCCAGTCAGCCATGAACCATGGAGCATTTCCACCTTCTTTTCCCATGATTGATCTGTCTGGAGTGATGAATTCTTTAAGCTCTGGAACAAGGGTATAAAGTTGATCAAAAGTAACAACGAGCATTGTGATAGCACAGGACCTCCCAAAGTGAGAGTTTGCTCTTGGAATTGAAGCAAGAGCCATGCAACAGGCAGCGTATACATCTTAAGTGGTAGGCAACACAATCACAGGTTCATCAACTTTGCTAAGTTCCAATGGCATGTTTGCAGGTTCCAATCACTATGAGCTTTAATAGCTTTGTTAACCTGTTGATGATGTCACATGAAGATTGTCCGATAAATTATTTTAAATACAGTCTACTAAAGTTTGATGAAGAGTATTACTTAACAGTGCATTATCAGGAGAGACACTGGGCTAGAACAGAGAGAGGACTGGACTAGGAGGAGCCAGGAGTTCAAGGCCTTGTCCTAGAGCTTGTCAGTAACCTGATGGATGACTTTGTGCAGGCCACTGGCCCACTTATGAACCAGTCGATTCGGCTCTGTCATGAGCATAACCCTTGCCCAGCCCCCTCACCAGAGGGTGGTGTGGATCTGATATGCTAGTGAATCCTCAAAAGGGTTTAGCAAAGAGTGAAGTGTTGTGTCAAGAGGAAGAAGATAAATTGCCATTATCTTCCCTTTGATCTCCATTATTCTTCAGCCCTGGCAAGGTTTGACAGTTGGATGCTGATAATGAGAGTGATGCAGAAGAGGGGAAGAAAGCAGGGCCCACTGAGGAGAGCACTCCAAGGTGAACAGCCATCATGCCTTGCCTCAGTCACACCCTTAGCAACCTGCAGAAGGGCCCAATGATTTTCACCGACCTTCTGACTGTGCCCCAGACCTTCTGCTCTCCTGCTGTGAGGAACAACCCAGCCTGGGTGTGGAAGAGGGAAATCTCAGCCCCAAGTAGTTGGGAAGGGACTTGGTCTGAGTGGTCTCTGTCCTCTGTGCCCTCCATAAGGCCAGGCATATTACAGTATAGGAAGAAGAGGGCAAGGGGAATAACATTTGTAAAGTGCTTACTGTGTACTTTGGGCTATACATACATTCTCTCACTTAATTCAGCAAGCCTGTTTTAGAGCTAGGACAGTTGAGATTCAGCAAGTTTACACAATGTGTTCCAATGTCACGCAACCAGTGAGTGTGACAGAAACCTCTGTTTTTGTTGTACAGCAAAGAAGAGGCAGAACTGGGGTGGGGGCAATGCTTAGCCTGCAGGTTAATATGAGGCAGAGATAGTGCCTCTTAAGTCCTTGGAACATGGTAGGCATTCAGCAGCTGGTAAGAGGCAGCTGTAAAAGTGTGTCTTACAGTGCACTTGAGTCACCTCTCATACCAAAAGTCTTCCTGTTCTATTTTATCTAAGAAAAATGCATTTGTTTCTCTCCTTGGAAGCCCAGACCTAGCTGGAGATTGTTTTCCAGTGCCCTCAACCTTCAGATCAGATGGCTTCCAAGACTCAGAGTCATCCTAAACATAGTTTCTGTTGTCATCAACTAGGAATAGAATCAGAAATGAGAACCTGGATCCTCTTAAGAGGTAAACAGAACTTGATAGCAGAAGCTGACTTAGTGCCAAGTGAGAAGACCGGGGGCCAGCAGGCACTAGGCAGATCTCTGAGGCACAAGCTGGAGATAGATTCTGTTTGGGACTACAGCCAGTAACCCTGTCTCTGCATTTCCCCACTATGGGCCAGTCTCTGAAGTTGTACCCAGTGGCTAGGTCTCAGTCCACATTGCAGTGTGGATGATCCGTCACACATTATCCCTAATCCTCACAACAATCAAAGGAGCAAGGCATTGTCCCCAACCTGCAAATCAGGAAACAGAGCCTTTGAAAGGTTAAGTCACTTGGGAAAATCTGTTTATAGGTTTTTCATCTGTAAAAACAATAATAGGCTGAACATGGTGGCTCACACCTGTAATCCCAATACTTTGGGAGGCCAAGGTGGGTGAGAAGTTCAAGACCAGCCTGGGCAACATGGTGAGACCCTGTCTCTACAAAAAAAAAAAAAAAAAAAAAAAAAAAAAAAAAAAAAAAAAAAAAAAAAAAAAAAAAAAAAAAAAAAAAAAAAAGAAAAAAGAAAAGAATAATAAAAATACCTTTTATCTATCTAAGAAGGTCTAAACTTTTGTCTAAAAACAATAAAAATTTTTTAGATAGAAGTTTAAACCTTTGGTACATCAAAGATGTTCAAAACATGAGAGCTGCCTGATTATTATTTTTTCCTACAGTAATCATATTAGCCCAGAATGTGTGTACAAAGTATATGTGATGATCTGAATGTGTGTGTCCTCCACAAATCCATATGTTGAAACCCAGCACCCAAGACGATGGTCTTAAGAGATGGGGTCTTTGGGAGGTGTGAGGTCATGAGGGCAGAGTCCTCATCAGTGGAATTGGTGACCTTATAAAAGACCTGAGGGGGCTTGCTAGCCCCTTTCCCCTTCATTCATGTGAGAATGCAACAACAAGGTGCCGTCTGTGAGGCAGAAAGTAAGCCCTCACCAGACACCAAATCTCCTGGTAGCTTGATCTTATACTTATCAGCCTCCAGAACTGTTGAGCAATAAGTGTCTGTTGTTTAAAAAGTGTCTGTTGAGCAATAAGTGTCTGTTGCCTAGTCTGACCAGGTGTGGTGGTTCACGCCTGTAATCCCAGAACTTTGGGAGGCTGACGGGGGAGGGGGGGTGGATCACCTGAGGTTAGGAGTTCTAGACCAGCCTGGCCAACACGGTGAAAACCCATCTCTACTAAAAATACAAAAAGTAGCTGGGCATTGTGGCTTCCACCTGTAATCCCAGCTACTCAGGAGGATGACACAGGAGAATCTCTTAAAACCAGGGAGGCAGAGGCTGCAGTGAGCCAAGATTGCCCATTGCACTCCAACCTGGGCAATAAGAGTGAAACTTTG